GGTGAAGCGCTGCCGTCTCCAGCTGCTGCCGCCGCACCGGCCGCAGGTGAGGGGTGGCCGGGAGGGAAGCTCCGGGGAGTTTCCGCATCCCCGCCGCGGCACGGGCCTGAGGGGGAATGGGTGACGTCGTCGAAGCCTGCTTCTCTTGATAACTCAGCTGTCGGCTCTGTGTTTGCACAGCACCTTGCACCACTCCAGTGTCCGTGTGTAATGGCAGTGCCTCATGAGAACATCCCTGCCCTTGGTCCCACGGGTCTGTATCCTTCCGTCCCGGGCTTGCTCTGAGGAACCGGTACAGAGGCGCTCATCTTGCGCTTGCCAAGCCCTCCTTGAGGTCCAGAACATTGCCAGAGAAAAAGTGCATCTCGAGGCCTGTCTTTTACTTTCTATAGTTCTGTGAGGCGATGTCTGCCCTCAGGTTTGCTCAGCTGGGTAGGTTCTGTGGCAGAGGCTGCTTGGGCAGGTATAAATGATTGTGTACAGCTACTGCAAATGGAAAATGCTACCAGGAATACCTGAGAAGCTTATGAGACTGACTGGAATTTGCCAGTGAATTGGAAATTAATTTAAAATAGTTTAATAACTGGATAAAATGGAAAGAATGAGAGGCAATTCTTAGAGCCAAAGTTGTCTGAATTGCTTCTTGTATGACAGTTCTGAAGGAGAGAGCCAGTCCTGGTTTATTGTTTTCTTGTGAGAATGCATACATCTCATTTTATACTTGATAAATATTCTTATATAGAGCTTTGAATTAGGCTGCTTATTTGAAGCCTATAAGTCAGAATGAAATGAATTCCAACTTTCCCAATTCTGTATTTTCCTGAAGTCATGTGCAATTTGAAGAGTTTCTTTGTTTGTTAAATCTATAGTTTCAGCAGAAGTAAATTAGCATTATGTCTTATGACACCAAGTCTCTTGTTCATAGTAAATCCTGCTTAGCTTTACTGGCTGGCTTTGCATTCTGCAGAATTTTTTGTCTCTCAAGAAGCCCATGAGTTCCTCATTTTTTCCACAAGTGTTGTGTAGAAATTGATCACTTTGCTGTGGTTTGAACACCAAATTTGTGAAGCGTTCCAGATCAGCTGAAGGGCACAACTTTCAAAACTGTGTTTGCTTGGATTTCCGTAGGGCTGATTGGTAGCGCTGTTGCCTCATTTCTGTATTGTATTCTTCTAAGTTTTCTGAGTGGAGTAGTCCACTTGTGGTGCTTGCTTGCAGAGAGTTTTCTCAGAAAAGAGGTTTACAATTTTTTCTCAAGATAGTATGATTACTATTACTAGCATCTGATTAGTTCTGGAAAATTCATTGCATAGCCAGGCTTTTTAAGGACAAATGCAGCTTTACAATTCTAACCAGTTCAGTGCTGGACTTGTAACCCATGTGGGCCCAGTAAGACCCAGCTGTGGGTAGTAGTTTTATATTGGTCTTTCATCTAGCTTGTTTATGATCTCTTAATTATGTCAAAAATAGGAATAAATCAGGGGTTGAACAGAAGCTGAGGTTGCTTTGCATTCACTGCAACTTGAATTATGAATAAGTAAATTCCAGGGTGGTCATCCAAATGATTGTTAGACAATTGAAGTATCTTGGATAATTTTACTGAGTCGTCAGCCTTTCTTTTTGAGAGCAAAAGTAGCCAAGACTGTGTATGTGTTTTATTTCCCCCTTCGAAAAAAAGAAAAATGCCAATTTGCCTGATGTAGACAGCTTGATTTTTATTACACTGTAGCTGAAGACTTTTGGAACAAGCTGGAAACTGTTGAGAGTGCTTGATTTGGCAAGGTTGTGCTTATTCTGTTTTCATCAGCCTTATCATTTTTTCATGTGCTCCAGAAGTGGAAAGGCAGAGTCAATTTTATAAAAGAGAAAAGGTTATTCAATCATAATTTATGAGTATTCAATCATAATTTATGAGTCTTTACCTCTGTGAGTATCTCATGGCTTTTGCTGAGTATTTTAATGCTGTTGTGTGTGAAATGACCAATATGGCAGTTAGGGGATGAGACTCCATGTGCTCAGTCCAGTATGGTTGTTGTGTTGCCCTTTCTCATTCCCAGACCTTATGCTGCTATCTGTGTTGAAGTGTATGACTCATCTGTAAATTTTCTGATGCATTATGTTCACAGAGTGCAAGAAATGAAAAACAACCTTCCCTGAGCTGTCATAGTGCATGGCCAAGAAATGGCTTTCAAGGAACTTAGCTCACAAAGCAGTTTTCCATAGGTTTCATAAAAAGTTCTTGCTACAATATAGTCTTTTTCCCTTATATACAATGAATACACATGGCTGTTTAATTCTCTTTGGAGAAGAGACAAATTTTACACACTTCAAAATTAAAACATGGCTACTCTTTCACAATCAAGCCCATAATCGTGATGCATATTGCACAGCAAATTTTCTTTAGCTGAGTGTTACTGCTAGAAAATTTTAAAGGAATAGAAGGGATGCACAGACAATAGAATCAACAGTTAGTAAATTATATGTTTACATGCTTCAAACACAAATTAGAGCTGAAAACTTAAGAATACTGGGATGACTCTCTCAGATATAAACGTTAATTAAGCTGGATGTATAGAGAGGAAGCGTATTGTGCGTAGAGTGATGTGAGTTGTAAGGAGACTGAAACACCAGAGAAGCTCTAGACCTTGCTGTGAAGCTTTCCTAGGAATGTGGGAACTGCTGGATTTCCCACTTGGTGCTAGTAGTTTACTCATGTATTCTGTTCAAGGAGAGATGTGGAGGAGGTGTTGAATATAAGCAGATGCTTACAGACAGCAACAAATCCAGAATTATTTCATGAGAGAGGAAAAAGGTGCTTTTTGCCATCTGCTTCTGTTTTTTTCTCTTTAATTTGACCCCTCATATTGGAGGTGCATGGGCCTTTCAAGCAGATTTTAAATGTACAGTGAAACTTTCTGTTGATGTCAGCTGAATGTTGGTCAGACCTAGGGAAAACTCTTATGCTGTGTCCTTTTGTTGCTGCTTTGGACTGAGACTTCATCCTTGTTAATTTCTCAGGTACTAAAAGATACTGTACAAAGTAGTAGCTGACTTAATTTTGTTTTGCTTCAGAGGGGTTATTGCAACAGTAGGAAAAGGTAGAGCTCTCTTGGAAAGACTTGAAATGATATTTTGCTATCCAAACTCTTCTCTGTCATTTGATGGGTTAGTATTCATTCTGTCGTTTTGATTTACTGTAAAAAGTCTAGACTTCAGCAAACAGGAAGAGAAATTTTATAAAATCCCGCATATTTTAAAGTTGGTTGTGAATTTTAAAGCAATCTATGTATTCTTCTGAAAATAAAACACAAATACATGGTTTTTAATCTAGAAAAGTTCAACAATTTAAAAAACAATTTAAAAAATATTTATATTTTTTTAAATTGCAGTTTAAATTGATTGTGGAAAATCCAGAAAAACCTGTTGCGTCTGGACTTCAAGTTACAGCCATTGTAGAATATTATCCTGAGAGTGAAGATGATCTTCAAGATAGACTACGTCTTTTAATAGAAGATAACACAGTTGATATCCCCCTCATTGGGTATGATGGTAGAAAGTTCATATGCTGCTGTTAATATTTGCAGTTTAATCTTGTGGAAAGTTTGATAATATATGACTATGTAATCAATCTGTCAATTGCATTGAAAACAAATAGTAAATGTCCTTGATAAAAGTAAGTTGTGTTTTTGTTTTGTTGTTTGTTTGTTTGTTTTTTTTTCCCCAGAGCAGCACACAGGTAAGAAGTTAATTGGGGTGATGTCCCTCTAAGATCCTAGAGAGAATTTGGATTTTGTTTTTGCCTTATTCTAAGTTGGTTGTGATAATGTTGATAATTTCTAAGTCCGTATCAATCTTAGACAAGGTAATATCTACACTTAAAATCTTCCTTCCTTACTGAACCACTTACATGAAAGATTTTATAGTATTTGTATTTGCAGAGCTGGATTATAGTGAAACGTATCTTGAATAATTCTAAAATTATGGTGTATATTTTAGAAGGTCATACACTCAAAGATTGTTTTCATCAATCCGTGTGTGATTGTGTCTGCCTATCTATGTGTGTGTATATGGATATATGGCTTATATATTGGATATAACATATATATTGTTTGGAAATAGTAAGCTTCTAGATGTAGTTTATTAAACTTAGGCAAGGTGCTTATCCGAGGTTGAGAGGGAGTTGCTCTGGAGTACTTTTCTCTCCTTTGTCTATAAAGGGAAATGAGAATGAAAAACTTCTGTTTACAGGTCCAGCTTTTAGATGCTTAAATTAGGACAGATAAATCCTATAAACTATTGCAAATCATAGTTTTAATGAAAATCTTAACATTACAAATGCCGTGTAGAGACAGAAAGGAATTTCCGTGCAGATTATGTAGTCTGAGGGTTTTTTTGAAAAATCAAGCAATCCCAAAAAATGTCTCATGCCAGCCTGAAATGTGCAAGGTTTTGCATTCAGTTAAGTAATATTTACTCCTACATTTCATTTACCTCTTATGTCACGATCTTTTTCACTGATGTGCTTTTCCTTGTTTAATTGTTAAAGCTGTGGGATTTTTAAATTTTATTATTGTAGTATTGTTAATGTAGGAAACAAATAGTTAAATCTGACGTGGGATTTTCAAGTTGTAAATTTTGTTTACCATCAGAAAACTTGGAAATAGCAGTTTCAATTAGTTGTTTTTTTCCTGGTGTGTATGTAAACTCTTAGAATCACAGAATGGTTTGGGTTGGAAGGGACCTTAAAGCTCATCCAGTCCAACCCCCCTGCCATGGGCAGGGACACTTCCCACCAGACCAGGTTGCCCAAAGCCTTGTCCAACCAATTCTTATTGTCTTAAAACACATTAATAAACAATGCTATTGTAGCCTTCTTTAATAACTTCAGAGAAATCTAAATAGAAAGCCCTGAATGCTTTTCTTTGGCTGAAGGATGGGGATGACTTTTCATAAAGTAATACAGAACTTAGTAATTCAATATGATGATTTTATTATTAAAAATAACTGTCTCTATATTCTCTCAATGTATATTTTCCTAGAAGAAAAATGGGGAGCACTTTGAATTTTTTAAAAATATTTTTAATTTTGTTTTTAATTTTTATTTTATTATTTTGTATTTATTGACTTTTTATGTTTTACATTTCATTTTTAATTTTCTTCTCTTTAATTTTTTGAAAATCTTTTTTAAGGTAGTATTGTGGAGGTAAGACCACTTAGGTTGAAAATGCGACTCCTTTCTGGAAAGGACTTGCAGTAGATTAAGTATTTCAAATCTTCCTGTTTAACTGGCTTTTGCAGGGAAAAAAATTGACAGGCTATAATATTTGGTTTTGTTTGTTTGTTTGTAATTCTTTTTTATCAGTCTTTTCCCAAATGTATTTTGTGTCTTCCATGTCTGCTGTTAATACATCGATGATATTAAATTATTACACTGAAAGGTCACTAAGTACATCTTATATTTTTCTATACAATCATGGTTTAAAATGCATCATTAACCATTTTGAGAAAATAATATATGTAGTGTAACACTGGTTGACAAATACTAGTCAAAAGATTTTTTTTTTAAATAAAAAAATTGCATTGTCGCTATGAAATGTCCACAGAAGTGTTTAATTTGATGGAAGAACCTGGAAATATTTTTAAGAAAATATTTGCAATGTTCCTTTTTGGAGAACAGACACCCTCCCCCTTCCCTGAATTTATTTAATTCTGATGTGATTTTTTCACTTCCTATATAAAAGTTTGTGCATTTTTTTACATTTTTAATAACATATTTTTTCCACTGATGTATAAATAATAATGTAGTAAACACTAGTGCTACTTTTCCTAAAACATCTAGAATTTAAATAAGTAAGTTTTGGAGACCAAACAACATTTTTAGCTTAATCTCTACAGCACCATGAATTTATGATGTATTTATGATGTGCATAGTAATAAAAGTGGAATGATTTAGTTGTGTTTTGATTTTTAGATTTGGTCACCATAGAAAATACTTATATGCAAGGTTTGAGAATGTGTTTCAAAGAAGCTAGTTGCAGTTGTTTTAATTTTTTTTAATGATTAACTGAAACTTTGCATCCAAATTTTTTTTTTACATAGAATAATTAAGAATCATTCAAAACAGACAAACAAATAAAACATTTGGAATTAGGTATTTCCAGGGGTAAGTTCTGTCTTCATACAAAAACACAACCAAAACCTAACCAGCAAATCAAACCAACCAACCAAAACCCACCCTGTATTTAAAAACAAAACCTAAAACCTTTAACTTCACTATCTCCCTTTTTGCACAGGTCTATATCTATTAGAAAATCTCATTGCAGTTAGAATTTATGGCTTATTCTGGTCTACTTGAGGAGAGTTTATTATACTGTTTTGTTGGGTTTTTTTGCCACATCCTGCTGGTCTAGACCATCTCTTTCAAGAATTCACTAATTTTTATTTTTTTTTTTGCTTTACAATAAATTATTAAAGAGAATTAAAAACATTGTATTAACATTCCCAAGAGCAATTTCATCTATTGTATTTTCTGATTCAATTCTCTGTTTTCCTCTCTCGCTTCCTTCCTTTCTACCCCCACCCCCCTCCCCATTATGCGATAGGTTATATGGGCAGGATCTACCTGCCTTGGCCTTCTACATTTAGTCTTCTGTACCGCATGTGATGCAGACCATGAGATGCAATTGTTCCTGCATGTTCCTATTTGTGGTTAAGAAGAGAAAGATTGCTTTACTGATGTAAAATTCCAGTTGATTTCAAATGCAGGTTAATGTGAGATCAGAGACGTGATTGTATTAGAAATTGGGACATTTAAACCCTTTAATTTTCCTCAAGCAAGTATGATCTTTTCACTATGGCTAAGCAGTACCCAATCCACTGATGTCTTTGTGCTGGCTGAGTTTTTAAAGAAATAATAGAAATGAGTTCTCTTATTATCCACTTCTATTAGAATAAGTTTTGGTGCAGCCACATGAAGTATCTATAGAACAAGACTGTAAATTGAAACTGGCATGCATGTTTTCTCTCTGCTTTCAGTTCATGCAGCTGATAATGGTATACGGTGAATGTTAACTTTGGTCTTATTTTGTGATGCAACTAAGTCAAGTTAGTTTTATCTAAAGTTCTTTTATTATAATAAAGTAATTAAAGTTAAATAGAAGTTTATACATTCAATTTCAAATAATTGCTTAAAGCTATATTGTTATAAAGTTATAGTAGTCAGTAATTAAACAGCTTGATAGCTAGCTAGATATTTTTTACATGTTCCCTGTGTATGGTATACTGTTGAAGTGAATTGCATAAACATTGGTAAGAGAGCTTAGAAAAAAGGAGAACTCTCTTGCCCTGGAGTGCTAAGTCAAATTTCTTGAAAAATGCAAAGGTATTTTCAAGTTTTGAAAAAATATAACCATGTCTGTTCTCTGCAGATTAATTCCTCGCTGTTATCTGGAAATTGAGTCAGAGATTAATTTTGGTACAGTGATTGCAAACAATAAAATAATTAGTAAAGAGCTTAGTATTGCTAACCGTGGATCATCTTCAGGTAAATATTTAGTATCCATTAAATTATACAAATATTTTATGTTCTTAGAAAATATAGTTTTATGGAAGTTAACACTTCAGTGGCCAAGTAGAAATTAACTGAAGTTCTGGGTTACGCAGATTGAGTATTGTAGCTAAAGGTTCTGTATATGGCCCATTGCTTCTGTAGGCAGTACTATGTTTCCACTTACAGAAGTAAAATGAATGTAGAACTTTGCCGAATTTTAGAAGTTCTCTACTTTTGAGTCCCATCTGAAGGATCTAAAAATAACAGTTGCTCATTGGCTTACTATGCCCAACATAAATACTAGCAAATCACATTTGCTGTTGCTTTGTTGTCTTTGTGATTCTGTGGTACCAATAGCTGCCTAAACAACTACAAGCTCCCTGTACTTTCAGAGCTAAGGTCTTCTAGGATAGGAATTGAACCATATTTGCTACTAGAAGATAATGAGAGGTCCTTTGTCTTGTTGCCATATTCATAGCTTTTGAAATTGTACAGGTTTCTAAACATGTACATCCTTCAACTTCTGTGAGGGACTCTTCCAAGGAGTATAAGAAACATGGAGAATGGAGCGTAAGAATGCTTATATGATCAAAAAACTCCATTGACTGCCTTTTCCTCTGCACAAGGCAGCACTTTCTCCAGAAGTAGGGTGGCAGCTATGCTGAGTTTCAAAAAACAAGCTTAAGGCAGTTAATCTTTTTTTCCTCACTTACACAGCTGCTTATTATATCACAAGGTATCTTTATTTGCATTAGGCCAAGGTTGTCTGAACATTTGCTTCATAGATTTCCACAAGAAATATTGTACCAACAGAAGATGCACGATCATAGGAAGACAGAGATTGGTTCCAATATAAGAAAAAACAACACAAAACAAATGACTGTCTAGTTAGAACAGAATTTAATTTTTATTTTTTTTTCCAAAAAGCAAAGTTTTCTTTTTTTAGCTAACTCAACTTAAAGATGGAGTATGTAGCTTATATAATAGCTCTTACTCATACACACTGTCTTCTTTGAGGAATGATGATTAGATAAAGAAAATGAGGGAGAAACTACATATGCATCTACAACTGATTTGCATGATGTGGAATTTTTAATGTATAGGAACTGTTTCTGGTTATAAACTCTGTTGAATGATGCGTGTAGGCTCCATGCTGAAGTTTTGCAGGATTGAACAGAGGCAAAATTAGAATAAAAGTGATGATTAGTGAAGAATGAGGGCAGATGAAGGAAGAGCTGCTGAATCGGTGTTTCTGTAGGCTCTAAATTGTAATACAGCAGGTCACACTAACAGGCAGTGTGT